CATATTTTCAATATCAGATCATCTTCCACTGCCAAATTTATCTCACCAAATTTATAGTTTTTTATTCAAGTCTAACTGGTTCATAAGAAATGTTCTGGAGAGTAAAAAAGAAATCAAAGTAAAACAAAACCTTACATGGACAGACACAGTTGCAATGATGAGTGGGTTGTTTTCTATAATTCTAATAATGGCTGAGATGTCAGGAATATAGAGGTATTAAATAATTTTTATGTGTTAAAATTTAAACTCTAAAGTGAGATTATAAAAATTATGGAACTCTTTTGCTTGCCATACAATACAATGAGTACATATAATATGTGCAAAATTACAGAAATTAATTAAAATTACAGAACTGTCTTTTACATATAAAATGTCTTTTACTCATTTTTTTCTGTGTAAAAACATTTTTTTAAATAACAGTGTAAAAGATTTATTTATGTACATTATTTTTCATCATTATTTTTGGGTCTATTAAAATGGAACCAAAATTAAGAGCTTTAAAAATTAATCTGAAGAATCAGGAAAGATATTTACCCTTACAGGTTATCAAAAAAAGCTCCCGTAGGCCAATGTATCATATTTATATTTTTGAAAATACTTTGATTTCTCATGTGCAAGGGGATCATAATTCTATTTAAAGTAATAACTAAAATGATTATAATCTTCTTGGTCTTCTACTCAATAAAATGCAAGGTATAAAAGCATTACGCCAGACCCTTCAGCAAACAGTTACTAGGTAGAATGAGGTATTATTTTCAAAATAATAATGATGATTATCAAATTTTTATTCTTCTGTTGCTTGTGCAAAGAACAAAAAAGTTTAAACATGATTTTGAAAGCATAATTCATTTCATTGGAACCCACGAAGCAGCTCTGTATAATGTGAAGAGAATGGCTTTAGGTTTGGATTTTGACTCCACCAGTGCACAGCAACTTAGGCAAACAACATCTCTGTGCCTCAGTTTCTTCATCTCTGAAATGGAGATAATCCTTCCCATCTCATGGGAACACTGTGAGGATTCAGTGTAATGATGCAAGTAAAATACTTAGCCAAATGCCTGCATTCACTTGGGAGATCCTCAAAGAATGCTAGTTTACTTCTACCCATTCTTACCACGGAAAGAATGCAAAAGACCTATTCTCCACTCAAGAAGAACTAGAACCAGAGTAGGAGATATGGAGTCACAAGGATGAATCAATAAAACACACTTAGGATTTCATCTGTGAAAATCATGCCCCCCTTTACTATCATACATTAGAAGATACAAAGAAGCAGAAACACTGAATTCTGGGAAGAGGAGGGATGGAAAGGGAAACAGAACTAGCATTTGTTCTGTGTTTCACATGCTACTCATTGCACCAAGCCTTGTTACACATTATCTTATTACTTATTAAGGCACCAAAGGTCTCTATCCAGCAGAACAATGACGGTGATGGTAATCCGTGACACTGGCTATTCTTGTCCAGGGAAGACTGGAGGATGGGCCTCACTGACTCTGCAGGTAGATCAGGGAGGGAGGGTAGGACAGCAAAGAGGAGCACTGACACAGCCCCTCGGGATGGTGGCTGAGAGACAGGGATGTGCTCATGAATGACAATGTCTTGCTTAAACCATCTTAACTACTTTCATCTATTTTTCTCTTCAGAGTTGAGTATGTAAAGCAGTGAGATGGTGGAGATGGTATGGAGTCATATCATAATGTTGTCTGGGAAAGATAGTGCATGTATAATTTTCAGAATTATAACAAAATAGATTACATTTGCAAAGTAGGCTCTACGCCTTTTGTAACCATGAAAACAAAGCAGTTAAACAGGCCTGATGTGAAAGTGACCCTGTGATATGCTCTGTCACTATCAAGAAGAGAAAAACGCTGTAGCAACCAAGTAGACCCCATTTCATTCTGATTTCATGTGACTAAAGTAAAAAAAAATTCTTCCAAGACTGCCACTGCCTTGATTCTTTTATTACAATTCTTACTTTTTAATGAATATTTTAAGTAATATTAAAGGAGTAAGACTCCCAAGTTTACAAAAAAGGGCAAGAACTTTAAAATATTTAGAAACATGTTTGTTTTAATATGTAAATCAGCTTCAGGAAAATGAAAGGGCAAAAGGGAGGGAGGAAATGCAAATGGTCAGGCTTCTAGCTTTTGCCAGCTTACCAAGTACCCTGATGACATACGAGTGGCAACAGCCCTTAAACCTCTTGCTGTGTCAGTGTCCTAAACAATGCCCTCAACGCTTAAGACCGCTGATGCCAGGTCCCCAAGTGGCAATGCCTGGCAGCGCGCGCATGGGTACACACACACACACACACACACACACACCCCAAGGTCCACCCTGAGGGTGGAAACTTTCCAACAGGGCAGCAAAGAGCAAAGGTACACGCATGTCCCACCCATCCACATAGAAAACATATTTTTCCCAAAAGGGAAATCTCACATTACAGAGCTAAGACCACCTAACAAGCCAAAGCAGATGGGTCTAGATTCATAAGGTAAAGGACAGAATTGGTTTTGGTGACTCTCTGAATATTCATAGAATCCATAAAAAGTCCAATCCTTTTAAGATGCAGTCTGTTAGAAATGAATATGCAACTGTACCAAATAAAAACATTATCTTTCTCAAAATGTACACATGAGAATTTGTACATGGTAGGAAATGTGCCACCTCCCTTTGCTGTCTGAATCAAGTACTATCTGAACTTTATATTTATTAGTGGTTTGTATTTTCTAATGCAGGCCCAAGAATATGCTTTCCTTTCTTTCTGTTTCTTTAACACTGCACTCCCTCTTTTATCATTTCACCATCACAAAACGTGCGACATGCAGTATAATGTTTCCTAAGTATAGTGTTAGAACTTAGAACTAGCTAGCTCTTCAAAATGATCATGACTCCTGGACCCCCACACATGGCAGCATGGAGTCCTTTCTTCAAGTTTCCCAGGTCATTATATGGGAAGAAAAAGGGAGAGAGCTGGAGGGGAGGAAAGGAGAAAGGAGGGAAGAAGAAAAGAATAAAGTACTGAATAAGAAAGAACTATTATCACTTCAGATGACTGCTCCTTACAAGTAGACCTATTACAGTGAAAATCACCATATGCATGAGGACTTCCGACTTGTTACTAAGACTCCAACCAACTAGCTAAGCAACCAAGATCGATCGCAAGCAAAGGTTTCAGCTCTGGCTACTCTTTCAAGTTCCAGGCAGGGCTGGAGGGATGTTTTGCAAGTCTAAATTAAACAAGCTTGGCTAGAGTCAAACTACAAGCAATCAACCAATATAGAAACAGTCAGGTTTATACAAAGGCGTCCAACACAAATAAGGTGTTAGATAGGCTGAAAACAAATGGATTCAAGGCTGGGGCATCCCCTAGTCTCAACACTGCTTTTTTGAATTTTGTTGGCTTTACAGAAACACTAATCATAAAGTTACTTTTATATGAATAAAAATGTATAGTAAGATCAACATTTGAGTGATTCCCAACAAAGTATCAGAGACAGAAATCTCATCATTAATAAAAAGCGGTTTACTGTATGAATCTGGCTACCTAAATTGCCTATCTAAATATCTAAAACTTATCCCAGTTTTTCCCACAGTGAAGTTTTCCTAGGACTCATATGAGGACCAGTCACAACATCAGAACTAGTCTGTCATCCACATTCCATATTCACGGAACAGCAGATTGTGCTAAACAGGTATAAGTATCATAAGCTGAATTTCTGTCATTATTTAGAGGCACATATATATTTCAAAATGTATGCAGTTCTATTTTGTTCTGTTCTCTAGTACTAAAAATATATACAGAGCAGGAAGTAACACAGAAAGGGTTGGAAGGGGCACGCTGGCTTTTAAACGCCTTGGCCAAAAAGTGCCACACACCCCTCTGTTCAGAAGCTGTCTGCTGAGCTAGTCACATAGCCCAAACCTGACAACAACAGAAGTTAGGAGTGGAAGGGGGACCTATTACAGTGAAAAAGGCGACACAGGAATTTGTTGGTGAACGTAACTACTGCTCCTGCACACCACCCACTTAAAACTGTTCGGTTCTAAAAATCAAGCAGCCCCCACTACTCCTCTTGCATGCTCCACTCTCCACGATCAGGATTCAAGTGCACCATCTTCTTTGGTGATTCCCCCATTACTAATACTGGGCCAGGGTTCGACTCCATGTTTTCTTACAAAATGACATCCAAAATGGATGGGGCCCTCCACATATAAATTCCACAGGGCAAAAACCTGTACAATCTTGTTGAATCCCCACACATTTTTGTCTATGACAATTATGTACCATATATTTTTTAAAAACAACACATTAATGAGTGACCTAGCATACTTGGAATTTAAACAATGCCTGGCAGCAGCTGCTAGAAGTTTGTCTGTCACACTTGGACTTCTGCCGAGCCTATTTTCTGTCAGCTTTCTTATTTTCTTCTTTAATTTGATAAGTGAACACTATTTTGACAATGGATTAAGCAATACACAAAAAGTAGAGAAAAAATATTAATAAATTAGGCACTTTTTGTTGTTGTTGTTTACCCTAACCCGAGGATATTTTTCCACTGAATTTTTAGGGAGAATGAAGAGAGAGGGAAAGACAAAAAGAAACATCGATGTGCTCTGACTGGTTTGGCTCAGTGGATAGAGCGTCGTCCTGCGGACTGTTGTTTACCCTAACCCGAGGATATTTTTCCATTGAATTTTTAGGGAGAACGAAGAGAGAGGGAAAGACAAAAAGAAACATCGATGTGAGAGAAACACATTGACTGTGGGCCGGGGTGGAGCCTGCAACCAAAGTATGCGCCCGTGCCAGGAATCAAACCCGGAGCCCTTTGGTCTGTAGGCCGAAGCTCTTTCCACTGAGCCAAACTGGCTAGGGCCAAATTAGGCACTTTGTCTCATGCTCCTCAGAACACTGGCCCATAATGCACACTTCTCACGGCAGCCTCAAGAAACGCTGCGCACAGGGACCACCCACTCCGCCTTCCACTGTGTCTGAGATCACACGTATTTATCTTTATTTTTAAAATCTCCTCATTGTTGCCAATGACACTTGAACATTATTATTAATCCAGCTACTCCTAATAATAGTATTTAAGTAACTTGTCATCTTGGGAACTTAGTAGACAATAGTTAATTAATTATCAAGCATTAATATAACAGGATTCTAATCTCCAATCTCTGAAGCAGGGTATGTATTTGTTACAATGGTAAACCTTTTGTTTGAATTGCTTATTTATGCAATATACAGTCTCTATCACCTCAATTCTAATTTTTATATCTGCTTTGTGAGTAAAATAATCACATGCCGAAGGACACAGACAGTTCACTTCACAAACAGTAATGAATCTCCTGTGAGCCCTTTTATTCACACCACAATAGATTCTATATTACCAGGCAGAGGAAAACAAAACAACACCATAGATTATTTCCCTTATTTGCAAGATATGCACACAGTATTCTGATAGGAACAAGAACCTGAAGGTGCAGCGAGCTATGGCTTAGGAGTGTGAGTAAATACAATATTCTGTTGACATCTTGTTGTTCCTGCTTTCAAACAACCAGGTATGTTACATATGAACTGTCAGAGCAGCTCAATAAGTTTTCCTGTCTAAATGTGCCCACATTCTTTTCAGAGACCTCATTTTAAGCTAAGTTTCCTATCTTTGTTGAACACCATTGTAACAATTTCTTAACTTGCAATAGTCATTTCAAATCAATATTTAAATGGTATAAACACCACCACTTTTATCCGCTAACCTTCTCTTCAGATACACCATACATACTTTCCATGTGACAATGCAAATGGTCTGCATCCAGCAGGAAACAGAAAGGTGTCAAAGAGAGAAAGATAGAATCCCTTTCTTGGGCCCTTAATGAGGTCTCCAGAGCCAAAGGCAAACCAATAACAAATTGTACTTTCCACATATTGGGTGGAAAAAAAGGAGAAAGGCGGGGGGGTGGGGGAGTGGGCTTGTCATCTGAAATTAATTGAACTTAGCCATGCCAAGGAAGCACGGGTAATAAACCCTCCCCATCTAAATTAAGGGTTTTATACCATGAAAAATAAAAATAAAAAATTTATGGCAGTAATTTCATCTGGGTTTTTCAAGAAGTGCTTGCTGATTTTCTTGTACTCAGTAGAAAAATCCCCAAGGAGCAATGCAGACTGCAATAAGGCAGACTTCTAAAAAGATACCATTTAATTTCTCACTCCTCCCCTTGTACTATTACCACATTTCCACTTTTCACTAGCTCAGTATTAACTCTCTCAGTACAGTTCTCGCCCATTAGCTCTCAGCAACATCTTAAGGGGCAGGGAAAACATGCTCAATCTACAAGCGCTCATCCATTGCTCTGAGTCAAAACAATCGGAAGCCCCAGAAGCACAGACATTTATTTGCCTTTGGCTTTTCGTCGGGACACCCAGCTATCTTACTCAAAGCCACCAAAAGTCAAAATGGTTTCAAAACAATTCTATCATTCAACATCTTTAACACTGGTGACAAGAACTGGTGACTGACTTCTGAAGAAAAAACAAAAAATCAAACACAGAACCATGACTCCCAACCTATGGATCGCATATGGCGGGGCCAAGGCGCAGTTATTTGCAAGGGCTCTGCAAATTCCCATGGACACCAAGCACAGCCTGCAGACCAAACTGTATAACATATAAAAACATAGTCACAGTGTTTGTTTTCCAATGTCCACAGACACTGTTCTGATGACTAAAAATGAACATTTATTTAAAAACACAACTAAAGTCACAGTAGCTTTTCCCCATTTTCTCAATTAATGGATGCTATAAGTAAAAGAGCTAATTTACAATCCTGCAATCTTTTCAAGTCAAGGTGAGCCTTCACAATGAAGAAGAAGGAAAATAAGTGATAGGATTGTCAGCGTTTTCAGAGCTTTATGTTCAGGCATGTGGTAGGCACTCAATACTTGTTGACCACAGGTGTAAGGACATCATTCTTGGCACCATTTGTATCTCTTTTTTTCTTTCATTCGTCCCATCTCTTCATGTACAAGATAGCAGCAAACCTCAAAGTAAGGTCTGGACTCCTGGGATCCCTAGTGCCTTTTAGGAGGTCCATGGGGTCAAAGCTTTTTAATTTTAAGAAGTTATTTGCCTGCCATGTATGGACTGTTGAGCTTTCCAGAGGCTACATCTGTGATATCACAACAGATTGAGAAATAAATAGGAGAATCCAGCTGTCTTCTACTGTAATACCAAAAATTAAGGAAGTTTGCAAGGTTACTTTCCTCACTGAATTATTTTTGTTTTAAAAAATATAGTTATTTTCATTAAAAATGTTATATATTGACATGTAATGGGTTTATTATTGCACTTTAAATTAATTCATAAATATTGATAAGATATACCAAGCATTAACAAAAGTTCTTTGGGGTCCTTAAAAATTTTTAAGAGTACATAGAGCTCCTGGGAACCAAGTTAGAGAACTGCTGTTAAGAGGTAGCAATGTCCTGGTTCCTGTTCTCAGTATACAAGCAGATGCTGGACCCCACCTGGGGGGGATGCTGAGGAGGAGTTCACAGGTTTTACTGGGTAGCCGACCAGGGGCTTTCACGTCCCTTCTAGCATTAAGTTCTATGATTCTATCTTAAAGGGAACCAAGGACATCTCCTCCCAAAGTTGTCACTACTGAGGTGGAATATGAATAAATATGAATGTTCCTTCATTTTCCCAACCACAAAACAGTATGAGCACATTAATGGGCAAATTAATATCGTCTGTGGTTGTATGGTCTTCATGTCAGTACAACATTTCCAACATTTTGGAAGCAAAGTGACTTTTTAATTTTGCTTATTAGGTTCTTTTTACAGGAAAAGATCTCTCCTCCAATTGGAGCCTCCCACAAATTTCAAATCACATAGTGCAGTACTATTCACTCTGAAGGGAAAGAAAGCTAGCACAGTGCTATTCAATCAGAAGAATAGCCATTCACTATATTCTCAAAGGATGTCCTTACGACCAAATGGTAAGGTCAATAACAAGGCAAAGGTTCTGCTGACAGCAATTCCCAAGGCAAATAAATTCATGCCAAACCCGTACAGATGAGGAAACATCTTAATCTTCTGCACAGGTCCTGCTCTTGTAAAACATGAAAATAGGATAACTTAGCTTAATGAGCACACTGTGCCCATAGAAACCAGCAAGTTGTTTAGAATGTATAGTTTCAGATCAATAAAGGAAAAGCAGTATTAGAAAAATAAAATGAATATACTTGTGTAATTTAATTCAATTCAATGAACATTAACTGAGTGCCTGCTATGTCCCTGTCATTATTCTAGGTGATCATGAAGAGAAGAGAAGCCTTACTCTCTAGTAACTCACACTCTGAACAGGAAAAACACTGTACCACAATGTGAAAAGTGATATAAAAATAGGTGTTTAATACTACTGAAACACAAAGGAGAAAACAATTAATTTAGTCTCATGGAAATAGGGGGAAAGAGTCATGACATATATAACAGGAAGGGAGGGTAGGGAGAAGTTTGTGCCTAACTCAAAATCTTCAGTCTGAGCTGAGTCCCTACCATCTCCTGATGATCGTTCTATGTGTCACTTCCATTTTTCCATGTTCTAGCTGCTAGTTCAAACCTCCATTCCTCTCACATCTCCCATCCAACTCCCTACAGCCCTACTCTCAACAGCTGTTCTTGTGGCCTTCTTCGAGATGAACCAGCCTTGGGCAACCTATCCCATGGCCAGGCCTGCTGCCCCTACCCCTGCCCTCTTTTAGAAGGCCAAGCCTAATCTCTACACTAAGACCCTACAGCCCATCTAGTCTCCCTTCTCAGGAACCTCTGCTCTCCAACCTCTACCTCACTCCTGATTCCTTATCGCCAGCATTTAAACATGCTTCCTCAGCAGCCAACTCAAGAAGTGAATATTTTTTTCCTCTCAATGCCCCATATATCCCAGAGCCAGGAAGTAGGGGAGGCAACTATACTTGTTCCAGTATACTACTCCCAACTAGCCTCCTCCCATTCTGCCTGCAAATCTTCCTTTTCTTTCAAAGCTCAAGGTCCATCCCCTGCTGTCATCATTATCTACCAACTTCACACTCATTCTACTCAACTGAAAACTTGTATTCCTGGCTCACTTCCCTTCCATTCCAGCTCCTATCACCACCCGCTAACATGAATGTACACCACGCAAACAAAATCTGGGCCGCCCAGGTCCCTGATAGCCTCTTTCAGGGCCCCTTCCTCTACATACCTCTGACTCAAATCCATGGGCAATACCTTGACTTGGTCAACAGAAACATATACCCAGGCCAAAATTCTAATATGAAACCAACATTTCATCTCCCCTTCCCATCTTTCCCATTCATTTGCTTTAGTATCCCCGTTGCTAAAGATTCTTAAACTGTCTAATCCACTGATCCTGTCACAATCCTGTCCCCCTTTGCTCCCTCCTTTGTTCAGCTTAGATTCTTATTATCTATGTATAATCATTCCCTTGCAGAATACCCTATTTCCCTTGTCCCTCTCTCCATTATACTTACCTGGAAAACTCCAACCCTAGTATCTACTTTCTCAGAGCACAAACTCAAGTGACAGTACACAGCTAAAGAAAAACCACACAATCAGACTTCATTTTAAATTCATCAAACTGATGTTTCTCTCTCTCTGTCTCTCTCTCTCCCTTCCACTCTCTCTCAAAAAATCAATGGGAAAATATCCTCGAGTGAGGATTAACAACAACAACAACAACAAAAAACTAGGATCTATTCTCAACAGAGTAGAGGATATGGCTCATAGAGGACCTTTAATGAATGATCACACCAGGAAGGAATGAACAGAATGATCAAATTTCTTCTGTTCAACAATTCTCCAACCCCTCCACTCCCAGTTATCACCCGTCCACCTTATCTCTGTTGCCTCAAACTTCTTGAAACTATTGTCTATTCCAGTTTTAGTGATATAATTTACATGTAACATTGTGTTAGTCCAAGGTGTACAACATGATTATTTACTCTTGATGACTTTACCTCACCCCCTTCAACCTACTTCTCTCGATGCCATGCAACTGCTCTTCCTCCTGACATAACATCCTTGTCAAAGCAAATGAACATTTCTTACTGACCTCTTTATGACATTTAGCCCCCAGTGATCACTCCTTCCTCCTTAAAGCATTCTCTTGCCTTATATGGCAATTCACACTCTTACGGCTCCTCCTACTTTTACCACTCCTTCTCAGGCTCCCTCTAAGGTTCCCCTTTTCTCTTTCCTAAAATGTTGGTATTCCTAAGGGTTCTGACCTAGGCCTTCCCCTCTATATGCACTGAATCATCTCATGCACTCATACAGTTTCAGTTACTATCTATATGCAAATGTCTTCCAGATCTTTATTTTAGCCCAGATCTTTCTCCCTAGCTTCAGACCATCTGCCTAAATGCCCAATTCAGATCTCTATTTGGATGCCCAACTGTTACCTCAGTATATTTAAAGTGAACTTATCACCCTAGCTGGGTAGCTCAGTTGGTTAGAGCATCACCCTTATATGCCAAGGTTTCGGGTTTGATCTCTAGTCAGGCCACATACAAGAAAGCAACCAATGAATGCATAAGTAAATGGAACATATAACTCTCTCTCTTCTCAACTCATTGCCTTTCCCTGGCAAATCTGCTTCTTCTCCTATATCCCCATCTTAGTGATTGGTATCTCCATCCAACCCATGCACTGATGTCTCTCTCACATACCCCACCCCCAACACATCTACTTTTAAACAAGGTCAAGATATTCCAATAACTAAGTATTTCTTTAAATTGCCCACTTCTCTGCATCTCCACTGCTACTTGCTTGATTCAAACCACTGGCATTTCTCGTGCCTAGACTTCAGCAAAAGTTTTCAAATTCTATTCTTACTCCCTGAAAGCCATTCTCCATACAATAGCAGGAATGATTATATGAAAACATAATAAATCTTATATTAATTACTCCACTACTGAAAACTCATCAATGTCTTTAATTGTCTTCAGCTAAAATTCAAATTTCTTAAAACCTGGCTGACAAAACCCTGAATGATCTGGACTCTGCTTGTCTCTCCAATCTCATCTCTCACTACTCCTTGCCTCCTCTTCTATGCTCCAACCACAATAAACTACCACTTTCCCATGCTCTCTCTTCCTGCAGTGTATACATGTTATTCCCCAAAGCCCGAGTCAGGCTTTTGCCTTCCACTCTGCACACACGCCCTCCTCATCCAGCCACCAGCCCTGATCTTCCAAGATTAGGCCAGATGATTCCCCCTGCCCCCCAGTACTCACTAACTATAATGTTGCCCACTTCAGAGAACTGAAATTGCCTATTAACTTGTCAGTAATCATACCTACCCACCTCAAAACTACAGAATCAGAATCTCTAGGGCAGGGACCCCAGCATATGTACATTTTTAAGGCTTACTGGTATAGCTCATGCGCAGCCAGGGTTGGGAATAACTGTTGTCCCCTCTATTCAGACAAGGAGCATTACGTTTACCATTGTAACCCAATACCCAGCAGAGTGTTGACATTGAAGTTACCTGCTAAATATGTAGTAAAGAAAAGAAGGGAACAGGGCAGCCCTAGTTGGTTTGGCTCAGTGGATAGAGTGTTGGCCTGTGGACTGAAGGTTCTCAGGTTCGATTCTGGTCAAGGGCACATGGCAGCGGATCAATGATTCTCTCTCATCATTGATGCCTCTCTCTCTCTCTCTCTCTCCCTGTCCCTTCCTCCCTGAAATCAATAAAAATATATTATTGGTCAAAAAGAAAAGAAAAGAAGGGAACAGGGCAGCAAGCAGAGGAAGGGAAGGGATGAATGAAATATACACTCAAGAAAGGTTTGAATGTTCTTCTACACACCTGTAAAAGGACATTACCAGGAGTGCAATCTTTAAGACTCAAGTTTCTATTCTGCTTCCAGTGTTATTTCGTTTTGCTTTGCTACAACTAAACTACATTCTCTTTGCATCAACTATAAGTAAAGAATGGCAGCTAAAGTATGTTGGGCCGAAAAGGTTGAGTACAAATCAGCTTTCACATCTATAACACTG